GGGGACGATGGCATTGATGAGGGGATTGGCGGGGACTCTCTCTCGCTTTTCACTACCTCTTTTTCCACCTCTTTCTTGATCTCTCTCTCTCTCTCTCTCTACCACTACCTCTCTTGCTCTCTCTCTATACCTCTCTTTCTACCTCTTTCTCTCTCTCTCTCTCTCTCTCTCTCTCTCTCTCTCTCTCTCTCTCTCTCTCTCTACCTCTCTTGCTCTCTCTTTATACCTCTCTTTCTTCCTCTTTTTGGATCTCTGTTTCTCTCTCTCTCTCTCTCTCTCTCTCTCTCTCTCTCTCTCTCTCTCTCTCTCTCGCTCTCTCTCTCTCTCTCTCTCTATCTCTCTCTCTCTCTCGCTCTCTCTCTCTCTCTCTCTCTCTCTCTCTCTCTCTCTCTCTCTCTCTCTCTCTCTTTCTCTCTCTCTCTCTCTCTCTCTCTCTCTCTCGCTCTCACTCTCTCTCTCGCTCTCTCTCTCTCTCTCTCTCTCTCTCTCTCTCTCTCTCTCTCTCTCTCTCTCTCTCTCTCTCTCTCTCTCTCTCTCTCTCTCTCTACCTCTCTCGTCTCATTTTTTACCTCTATCTCATGTGTCGTTCATTTCTTCAATCCCCATTTCCATTTCCCGAGTTCCACCATGCATTATCTTTTCAACTAAAGTTGTGTTCTTTTCATGTTCTCTTTTTTTTTGCCACTTGTATTGGTGATTCAGGAATGCCGTTAGAATGGATCTCTAGTTTCCAACTGTGTTTTTTTTCTACAGTAGACTGTCACATCACATAACACGTTTCAATTGCTTTCTACTTGTTGCTTTTCTTTCTCGTGATGCATCTTGAAGTCCAAGTGTTGTGTCGCTGCTATTTGCTTTCCGTTGCCGCCCTTCTCCATTCTGCTACTGCTTGCTTGATACACGGGTAGTTCATTTTGTGTATGCAATAAGTAGGATTGTATTGATCGTCTCGAGTAAGGTTCATTGACTTTCCACCTTCAGTGCAGTCACTTGAACTGGAGATGATAAGTGCAATGTTTTTTCTTGCAATCGCAAAATGCATTGCCAAAAAATATGTGTGATTTTTCCATTAGGCTTTTCAACTTCCCCCACTTACTGTAGCTGGGGAAGCGATTGCCTATTTTTGTCGCCGACAAAAATACCCCACGCGAAATGATGGAAAACTTTTGCATTTTTGCTTTTGTTTTCCATCATTTTTTTTATTTTCCAATACTATAGTGTAATGACTACATTGCACTATTACAAGTTTAAATTACTCCCTTCCACAGATCTGAAAATGATGAAAAACATGAACTCTTCTCCATCATTATTTCTTTCAAGTATAATGTTGTAGTGGTGATTTGACACATGTTTCAATTTTTTGCCAGGCGAAGCTAATGAAGCTATTTAGTTTAGATGAGCTATCCACACTATATTGCCAATATTCCCCATCATTTTCCTTCAAATAATATAAAAAATTCTATTAAAACTTGATAAAACTTGAAAAAAAAAACTCGTCCGATCGATCGCAATAGGTTGCTCCGCAACTCAAAAAAAAAAACCAACTACCCTTTCGCTAGAGTGAGGGGCAAAATCGAGGCTGGTATATCTATGATGGAAATCAAGTTTGCAAGCTGGTCCCCGTTTGATTCGTGCGGTTTCTGTCGTTGTATCGGGCTTGCCAAACCCAACTCCCATCAAACCCTGCTCTCGCTAGGTTTCCAATCAACGGCTGTAACCGTGCTTACAAATTGGGACTTCATGTGAGCATGCATCTCAGCCTTCGGATCCATGTTTGGCCCAACATGAACTCACCCCAAATTGGTCCAGCTAGCATACGAAATCCTCCACGAAGTAACATAATTACGCTGTTTCGCACCCAGTAACACAATTGTTTTTTTCCATCCACCCACCCCAAATTCTGCCCGTTGACTTGCGTGAACTAATTTGGGATCTGGGCTTTAAACGCGCGTGCACTGGCCAGCTCTGCGTGCCATGCCGATCCCCCTCGGCTCCACACCACGACCTTGGTGGTATGAGTTGTGTGAAGGGGATGGCACTAAGTTTGTCCATGAGCTCTGGGCGGCGAATTTTGTGAGCTTTCGGGGAGAATGAGAAGAGGCACGAATCTTGGGAGTTTGAGGTTTGGAAATCGCCAACAAAAACCAAACTCGTCGCATGATGAGCCATGTGTCGTGTTGGGCTGAGAATAGCCCTAGGATCTTTTCAGAAGGCTATATCCTTGTAACAGAGTGCTTGATAGCACAGTGCAAGTCTTGAGTTGAACATGTGAGAACAAATGATTGATTATAGCAAAGGGATACAAGGTTTATACAATAATACAAGCGAATATGAAAAGTCTAACTGTTTATGCACTTCAACGGTTACATTCCCTTTTACGACTCGATAAGGCGACTCGGGTAACCACTCGTACTGTAATATCGGGATGGTTATTTGTCCTTGTTGGGTTGCATGGTCAACGGTCTGCGACCGTTACCCTTTCGTAACCTCTGCGAGGTGTCGTCAACCTGCGTCATCCATCCGTGGTACTGTAGCAAGGTTGACACGGTGATCCTCCTTGTTGCAGTCTTCGCGTATTCGTACACCCATGCAAGACTCGTGAAATGTCTTTAAGTTTCTTTATCATGTATGTTGCTGACGTGCTGCAGTCCATTCAGCAGCAAGTCGTACTAAAACTTCGACGTCATTAGCTTCTTGGTCAAGTAGTCGGCCGCCATTTCGGTGGTGGGGCAGTAGACCAATTGGAGACGTCCCTGCTCGATCTCTTCCTTTACGAAAAAAAATAGCAAAGCGAGATGTGCTTCGTCGTATTCGCAAATCCGTTTTTGTTGGCGATTCTGATTGCGGGTTGGTTGTCGCAGAAGAGGGAGAAGCTTGGTAACTTGGCAATCTTTGCTTCTTCGAGCAGTTCGCACAGGTACAGTCCTTCCTTCGTGGCTGTACAGAGGTCGACATATTCCGCTTCAGTAGATGAGAGATTGATTAGTTCTTGTTTTCCCAAGCGCCAGGAGATAGTGCCGATAGGCCGATAGATGTAGCGGTGCGCGAGCGCCTGTTGTCCTTGTCGCCAGCTTGATTGGCGTCAACGTAGCCGATGAGTTCGGTCTTGGTAGTGGCGTTTTTGTGGTAGGTTAGGCCGATCGTCAGAGTCGAGATGAAGTAGTGGAGCGCACGATCCAGTTCCTGTAGATTCCCCCCTTTAGGTCGCTTAAGGTACATAGCGAGCTGGTTAGCAGCGTAGGAGAGATCAGGACGACAGATGATGGCGGCGAATAGCAGACAGCCTAGCTTCTACTGATATCCTGGATTCCGGCCGGTGCGAATAGCTAGGCGGTCGATGCGGGAACTGGCGGGGCGTATGTGTACAGAGTAGCGAGGGGTAACGGGGAGAGATCGAACAGCTTAGCGATGTTCTCGGCGTACTTCGATGTTGATAAGTGGATGGTGGTGGGGGCGTCGATGATATTGAGACCGAGGTACTACGTCACGGTCGGTGACACGGTGAAGCTTCAGCTCCCCTTCGAACCAGACGGTGATGGAGGTGGTGGAGCCGACGTAGAGCAGTTCATCTACATAGACGATGAACAGACATAGTCGCCGCTGCGGGATAGGCGATACATGCTCTAGTTGTGGGGTAGCTGGGCGAAGCCCATGGCGGTGAGGATTTTGTGCAGGTACTACTGCCATAGGTGCGGGGCCTGCTTAATCCCATTAAGGGATTTGACGAGCTGGCATACTAGCATGGGATTGTTGACGTATGCATATTGCTGCTCGACAAAGAATTCGGCATCGACGGGGGCATAGAGAGATGCGATGGCGACATCGATTTGTCGCAGAGGATGTCGACGGGCGGCGGCGACGGCGAGGAGAATGCGGAGAGAAGTGTGGCGACTGACCGGAGCGAAGGTCTCGGTTTAGTCACGGCCGTGCTGCTGGTCGAAGCCGTGAACCACCCAACGTGCTTTGAATCGCTCCATGGTTCCATCCGCCTTTTTCTTCACTCGGAAGACCCACTTCTCGGAGAGGATTGTCTTCCCCTTGGTTTGAGAAATTGGAATCAACTTCTAGGTGTTTCACTCGTGCATTGCAGCTAATTCTCGATCCATTGCCTCCCTCCATTTCCCCCTGTGCAGTCCTTGCAGCGCCCGTTCGACGGTCTTCGGCTCCTCGACTGGCGGTGGCGAGGACGGTGGATGTATTGCTGGGACGAGTCTGAGGATTTGCAGGCCAGTCTCGATGTAGCGGGAAAGTGCCGGATCCTCGAGATAGTATGCTTTGTCTCCCGCTTTAGGATCGGGTATGAAACCTGGTCCAACTCTTTCTGAAACATTGGTGTCGACGCTGTAGGGTGTTACGTAACCAGTGTCGGCAAAGTGGCAGTATGCTTCAGCATTCGCGCTTTCGCGAGGATTTTCTTAATCCATCTGCATGTCAACTGAGCAGTAAGGGAGTGGTCCGGCAGCTGCTGACGCATTTGGGACGTTCTGCTCATCTAGGTCAGCTTCTTCGTCTGTCAAGGCAAACACGCGTGCGCCAACAAAACCACAAGATGGATCTTGATTGGTGGCGATGTTTTCGAGGTAATGGTTGAGGGTGAGGTTCTTGTAGAAAATCACATCAGGTGCCGGTACTGTTTCTTTGCCTTCCACGTCGAAGATTTTCCATGCCTTGTAATGATTTTCCACACCGAGGTGTAGACCCCATCTTGCCCGTTCCGAAAATCGTCCAGCTCGTGCAGTGTGTGGTCGGTACTGTACCATGCATGTGAAAACTCGTAACAATTTTTTGCTGCTCTACTTCCCTGTCCATAGCAGATACGGTGATGCGTTGTTTGGTAGAGAGCTTGACGACAAAAGATTCTGCAGCATGACGACTTTATTCATCGCCTCCGGCCACTGCGCGTCGGGCAGATGCATCCCAGTCAGCAGCTTCCTCATGGTGTTCTCGAGAGTTCTTTTCATCCACTTCGCTACACCATTCTATTGGGGAGCATAGGGGAGGGTGATGAGCCTCTTGATTCCTCTCTCAGCAAGGCGGTCTTTGAAATGCTTTGACTGGTATTCCATCGCCCCGTCTGACTGAAAGCATTTTAGTTTCGTGTCTCCCTCCCATTCTGCTGCAGCAAGCCATGCGACGAAGGCAGAGAAGGCGAGGTCATGTGTACCGTGTGGCGGCATCGACGAAGGTGATGACATAGTTGAGGTTGGCCCGACCGACTTCTCTCGGAATATACAGTTTATCACGGTATACTTTTTTGAGAGGAGCGTACTCCGGTGTGCTTGGGTTGTGATGCGACGGGAACGGTTGATGAGAAAGATATGCTTCGGGGCAAATAAAGCAGGTGCGTTGAGGTCGTCGGAGTTCACGGCCATCTAGGAGTAGGAGAGTGTCCTTGTCCAAGACGTTCGCACAAATTGTATCGAATAGGCGTGAGTTGCCGGGATGTCATAACCTTTGATGCCAGATCTCCTCGCTCGCCTTGTGTCCCACAGATCGAAGGTATAGGTCGGATTTGGCGTTGAAGGTGGAAACGGTCGCGACGCTTCGATGCTGCTCATGAGGATGCCCTTTCAGCTGCTTGGCGTCGGTCGGCAGCAGCTCATCAACAGGTGGCGTGTCAGGCGAAGCTTCTTCGACGGGTGGCGCTGACGAAGTCCCAGCGATGGGGCTTGCAGGAAGTGCTCGTGTCGACGCTTGTTGTTCTGCTGCGTGTGGTGGTGCTGGTTCTTGTTCCCATGCTTTGCACATCACCGCTAATGCTCGTATGCTTTCTGCTTCAGGAATCGTATTGGATTACTTGAAGCCATCGCAGTCAAAACCAGGGTCGAGATCAGCGTGTGCGTCCAGGATGTGAAAGAGACGACGCCATCGCTGTCAGCGGTCCCGCGGTCTGGAACTAAGTCCAAGACGAAGACTCTGTGCTTCTAGAGTTCTCTGCTAATGAAGAGACCGCCCTTCCCATGGTAGAGACGGAAATCTCGATCGAAGCTGTCACACTCCAGGTGAATACCCTCTAACATGAGTTGGCTGACGCTTAGTAGATTGTAGCCAAGGTTGTCAACGACGAGTACCCGTGACATCTGTAGTATCATGTTTGTCTCGTTGGATTGTAACTGAACGACCCCTTCTTTTTGTGTGTGCAGGTTCTGGTTGTTGGCAACAGTGATAAAGACTTCTCGACTCAGAGTCTTCTCTTACTGGACGAAATGCGCCGCAGAACACATGTGCTGACCATAGCAACTATCAAGAAACCAAGTGTCGCGGCCGGATGGTTCCTCGCGAGCTATCGCAGCGTAAGTTGGGTTCGGTTGGAGCCGGGTCTGTGTCAGAGCGGGGGGTTGTTCGTCGAGATCATTGTGAGGCAG